TGGCCACTCCTGGAGCCACAATTTCACATGGCTCTCAGAATACCAGATCCTGCTTTCCAACTTAGTGCTGTACCTGGTGCACTTCAGTGTCTTTACTAGATCGTTTACTGACTTCAAAATGTTGGCAATTCCAAGGTTGACACTTACACTTCTCTTCTTCCTGCATACTCCCTTCCCCAAGTCACATCATTTTGTCACCTGATGTGCCACTTTAAACTTAAACTCAAGCTTATTTCTCCAGCTTTGATCTCTTCTTAGAACACTTTTCATATATTCAGTGGTCATTTAAGTGTTTAATAGGCATCTTAAACCCAAACAGAGATCTTGATTTTCCACCTCTAACTCTACAAAACTTAATCTATTTTTCTCTACAATTTCCACATTTCACTACTAAATGTTCTGTATTTTGATCACTAACATTTTTCTGGTAGTTATGGCCAAAACTTATAGGTAATACTTAATTTCTTTCTCTCCTCTCTCTCTCTCACTGTCTCCCTCTCTCTCCCCTCTCCTTTTTTACTTTCTATCTAACCCATAAGAAATTTCTATTGATTCTGCTTTAAAAATTTATGTTAAAATCTGGCCACTTCTTATTATCAGTACTGCTTAATCTGAGCCATTATTTCTTCTTTCCTAAACTCCCACTAATGTTAACCCTGTTTCTCTTGAACTACTGTAGCTTGTTTTCTCTAGTGTCAGAGGGATTTTTTAAATGTAAATTAAGCCAGAACTGTCCATAGCCCTGCATTACATCTAGAATGAAATCCAAAACTCTTACCAAGTCCACAAAGATGACCACGGCTGGCTCGTGTCTCCCTCTGCACACCAGTGTCTACCTCTGTCTCCAACTTTCCAGCTTTCTCCTTAGATGAACTCATGCCCTCTTAGAGTCTCTGAATTTGCTATTCTCTCTGCCAGAGATGCTCTTTCTCCAATATTCAGAAAGCATTCTATCTGATTTAATCCAGGTAGCAATTCCAATTTCTACTATATTGGAATTTATCTAAACAGTCAAAACTATCTAAGACCCTGTAACTTAATTTTCTGCTTTAGCTGGGCTCAGTGGCATACATCTATAATCTCAGCACTGAGGGAGGCTGAAGAAGGAGGATCACAAGTTTGAGACCCTCCAGGACAACTTAGTGGGAACTTATCTCAAAATAAAAAATAAAATAAAAAGGACAAAGGATATAGCTTAGTGGTAGAGGACCTCTAGGTTCGATCTCCAGCTCAGTACTGAAAAAAAAGTACTGTGCTTTATTTTTCTTATAGCCCTAATCATTCTCTGAAATCATAGTATATGTTTGTTTGTTTGTTTGTTTATTTATTTATTTATTTATTTTTGGTACGGGGGATCAGACTCAGGACCTTGAGTTTGTGAGGCAGGTGCGGTGTCACTGAGCTAAATCTTTGGCCCTATATGTTTATTTTTAAATTGGCTCTCTCTCATTGTAGTGTAAATTCCTTGATGCCAAAGACTAATGTCCCTATTCACTTGTGTAACACTGTACCACGCACAATGTCTGGCATATGGTAAGCACTCAAAACTATTTGCATATGGATGAACAAATAAAACACCATTTTTATGTCTGCTCCATTGATTCCCTCCTCCTACTTGAGAAAACAATTATTAATAGCATTTATCTTAAAAAAGTGGGCATCATGGGCCAGGGATTTAGCTCAGTGCTTCTGTCGCCTGCCTTGCAAGTGCAATGACTTGAGTTTGATCCCCAGTACCAAAAAAAAAGTGGGCATTAGACTGTACATAGTAAAGATAATAATAATAATACAATATTTTTTGGATGCTAAGCAAATCTTGGGCATAATTCTAAGCACTTTATGGACATCAACTGAATTAATCCTCACAAAAGCTTTGTAAGTGGATACTAATATTGTCTCCATTTTACAGAAAAAGAAATTAAAGCAGAGAGGAAGAGTATTTTTTTCAAGGTCACACAGTTTGCAAGAGGAAGATTAGAGGCACAACTCTCTGACACTTAGTAGCAGAGCCTGCATTTTCTCCAGAATTTTCCCTTCTTGACCATAATGGTCAAATCTTTGGGCTAGGAGAGAGTTTCTGGAGAAACGTGCATTCCTTCTCTGGACCTAAACTTCCTCTGACCTAAAGCTGGTAAACCAAAGACCTCATGCCTTGAGCATGAGACCCTTACACGCTTAGGCTGACTCTGTTTCTGTGTGTGAGGCTGTAAATTCAGAGCTGGGTCCTCAAGACTTTTGAGAAGAGCAAATGGAATGGAAGCAAGGGTTTTGGGAGACTGGCTGAGTCACTAAGAACAAAGGCACCGGCTCCTTGTCACGGATGACTAAAGTTATTGGAAATTCCTTCATGATCATGGAAATAACCATATATTTTTGGTAGATGTTCTATGGATGATATGAAATGTGGGAAAAGGAACAGAGGAAAAAGGGAGGAAGGAAGGAAGGAAGGGGAAGAGGGTAACAAAGGAGGGAAGAAGAGGGAAAGGAGGGAAGAAGAGGGAAAGCAAAAGAGGGAAGAAGGTGGTAGCATGGGGAAGGCATAGAGGAAGGACAGCATATTTCTGGGAAAGCCTTCTGGGGAGCAGTTAAACTTTGTGTGACTGTGGGGCTCACTGCTCTGCCCTGATGTCTGTTGATCTCTCTTCCAGCTCCACCCTGTGAACCTGCTGGTGAGTTTCACTTCCCTTTCTTCCTCAATCTGTGGGTACTTGTCACTCAGGTTGGCACGGGAAGCCTGTGGACGACTAAGCAGCCCCCTCCCCATCCAGGACACACCCAGTGACTGTTGCTAAGGTGTACAAACATCAGTGGCTCCCCTGGGCCCTGGTTGCTTTGACTCGTGTCTGCTCACTGAGTCTTACCCTGACTTCCAATAGTCTTATTTCTAGACTCATTGTAGGGAGGGAGATGCCATTTGGACAAGGAAGGCAGAGGATGCTAAAGAGTCATGCTAGAAGAGCCTCTGTCCTTCCTGCCTCAGGGGCCCCAAGTCCCTTGTGTGCCCTTCAACTGGGTCCTCCACCGTGGGAGGAAGCGTAGAGCTCACAGTGGTGGAGAACAACCTGAAGTCACTCTGCTCACGTGAGGCACAAAGTACTGCTGCCTCCTGCCTGTTTTCACTCCACTGTATTACCTCAGTGCGTTTTCTCCTGTCACACTCTGGTTTATGTAAACTTACTTCACTTTTCTGATCTTGATTCAAAGTCTCACCTTCCCCAGAGGAAGGAGACTGGGACATTTTCCCACCATAAGGGATTTTCACCAAAGCAAGCTCAAATCTAATATATATGAGAATTGCTCTCTTGTGCACAAAATATTAATGACAGGGTTAATATTGCCACCCCAAGAGCACAAGATCAGCAATTCCTAGAGCCAGAGAGGTCAGAAACAACCTAGCCTTCTGCGCTCTTCATCTGATATTTGTGTAACAGCCTTCTATTCATGTCCTGCCTCCCCTGTCCTTCTTCTCTTGTTTACTCCTAAGCCCGGATGCCCAATTCTAGCCCGAGCAGAAACTCAAAGCCACATAAAGTAAATGAAATTTTCAAGTAATCTCTGCTGCTTGAGAATTATCTGAAACAAACCCTGAACTGTAGGACTGAGCACCAGACTCTTAAAGTTACTACTACTCTACTCTATCCCTTCCCCTGCCCTATCAGAAGACTCCATGACAAGCGCCTGAGTGCATTTAAAGAAAAAGATGTTTCTCTGCTCAGCTTCAAAGCTGTGCTTCTCATCAGTCCTTTAGGGATCACAATTTTCCAAGGACAGAAAGTATGCAGTATGTGATGTCCTGGGACAAAGAGAACAATTTAGCAACCATGGATAGAACTGATACTTAAAATGACGCAGGGAATGGAAACAAAGTCTTTGTAAATAGGGAAGGGTGGAGGGGAAAAGGGAGGGCAGGAAATGGGAAAAAAGAAGAACCAAAATATATTATGTAAAGGTACAAATTCCCAATGATGAATGTTAGCATATTGCATACCTGAAATCTGCCCATAAAATTAATAATATAATAATAATAATAATAAAAAGATCCAGGGAAAAGCCTTCCAGGAGTAAGGTTTGGAGATTACAGATGCTGCCCCAGGATTTGCCCCCAGTGATCTAGTGCACTTGGTAGTTTATCTGGTGAAAGGAAGAAAGAGGTTACTTCTAGGAAAATTGCTAAAATTTTCCAATGTCAGAGGCTCTAAATTTTGGCTAAACAAATACCCAAGAAGCCAGTGCTATCAGGGTTTGTAACATTTCATGGGCTGCTGCAACTATAAAGAGAGCTAGGCCCCAAAGCACACATTTCTGAGGCTTAAGATAAAAATTAAATTTGCTTCACATATAGTGGTCCCTACAGAAGTCTGTATAGATGTTTCACATCAAGACCAGGCTCTGCAGACTGTGGGTCCTGGGCATTTTCAGGCAAGTGCACTCTGTTTCTTCGAATATAAACAGCAATAGAGGAGACAGGATGGTCAGCAAAGAGAGGATGAAGTCTCTCCATGCTATCCCACACTGACTGACCCTCCAGGCCCCATGTTCTCTCTTTGAAAGAGATAGAATGGGTCTGAGATATCAGGGGGAAAGGCAACTGAAGAAATTAAGCTATATGGTTTACAACAAAGCAAAAAAAAAATGTATTGACTTTTACAAAATTTCAAGTTTCACCATTGCTAATGCAACTCCGAGACCTCCTTTGATATCCCTGTACTGGGTTTAAGAAAGGGTCTTTTAGCTCAAGGATAGAAATGTCAAACTATTTAATAAGGCCAAGTCCCAGGTAAAGGTTGCCTTCTAAAGTCAGTGCTGCTGCACAGAGGCAGGATGTGCCAGGATGAGCAGGTTCATGGCAAAGGGAAGCCCATGGGCCACTTAGGAGGATGGATGGGTATTCAGTGTGTCCAGCTACCAGAAAACACAAAATGCTTATCATCATGAATTTGGACCCTCACTGGCCTGCACTTTGTGTTTAATCTTCTCTAGAGCCATTTCCACGTCCTGTGCTGACAGCCCGCCCCTTCCAGCCCATGGAGGGGGGCCCGATGATCTTGACCTGTGAGATGTGGCTCCCTCCTCGGAAGCCAGATGTCCAGATCCAATTCTGCTTCTTCAGAGATGTGCAGATGCTGGGCTCAGGCTGCAAGTCCTCCCCAGAGCTCCGGATCACAACTGTATGGAACAAAGACTCAGGGTCCTACTGGTGCCAGGCACAGATAGTAACTCTCAGCCTCACAAAAACCAGCCTGATGTCTCAGATACATGTACAGAGTGAGTGTCCAAGGGGCTGCTTTTCCAGAGTCAGAGCTGGGGAGAGGAGAGTAAATATTACATCTACTGGCCCTCCTGGATGATAGATGTAGAGAGGGAATTCTAGTTTTAAGGACAGCATTGCATGAAAGGCTGTGTAGAAAACAGCATGGAACAAAGTATTGGAGAAGGGCTTATGGAATGGCTTGATATTGAAAGATAGAATGCAGAAGGTGTTTTATCCTGTTCCATGACAGAGCTGACACTTCTGACATCTTCTCCTGTAAAGACCCAATATTTAGGACCGCCAGAAGGCCAGATAATCTCACATTTGTTTAACACTCAACACTGGCAAAACTGAACTCCTTGTCCACCAGTGTAAAAGCCTTGAACAGCTCCTACACACCAGGTGCTGTTATAGTGCTTCACAATGTGTTTCCTCAAAACCCTTGACTATAGGAAATGACTATCATTACCTTCCCCATTTATAGATGGAAGAGTAATTTGATCAAGCACGTACAGCAAGTATGAGTTGGAATCAATATTCACACCCAAGCATTTTGATTTACAATTTAGACTTTAATCACTATAATACTGTACCTTGAAAAAAGGAAGTTTGAGAGTCAGGGGAATGGGAGTTATATTGTCTTAGGGAAGAGGGTGATGCCATATTCTCCATATTATTATGATGTTGTCTTTCTTATCCTGAGATCATCAGTTCAACCAAACCTGATTCCAACTCAGCAGAACCACACTCCCAATTTAGATTATATAAATCATCGACTTTTGAGCAGCTTTAGCTTTCAGGACATGATGCTTACTCCTTGTCTGTGAAAATCTCCCTACCCATGGGACTCCATGTTATCTCGCGTTCCTGCAGGAGTCCCTGTCTCTGATGTGAGCTTGGAGACCCAGCCCCCAGGAGGACAGGTGATGGAGGGAGACAAGCTGGTCCTAATCTGTTCAGTTGCTAGTGGCACTGGAGACATCACCTTCTTTTGGTACAGAGGTGCTCTGGGTTCAAACCTGGAAACAAAGACCCAGCGTTCACTGACAGCAGAATTTGAGATCGCTTTGGTGCAGCAGAAGGATGCTGAACAATACTACTGTGCAGCAGACAATGGCCACGGCCCCAGCCTCAGTGGGCTGATAAGCATCACTGTCAGAAGTAAGTTCCACTGCCCACAGTGTGGGCAGCACACTTCTTCCACATTGCCCAGAGATAGCTTGAGGATGTTCAGTGTGGCTGAGCCTCTGAGGACAGGCAGGGACTGAAGGTCTATTGCATCCTCAGAGACTCCTTTCTGATAGCCTACTGTCTCCCCAGGTCCAGTGTCCCGTCCTGTCCTTACCTTCAGGACCCCCAGGGCCCAGACTGTGGTGGGGGATGTGGTAGAACTTCACTGTGAGGCCCCGAGAGGCTCTCCTCCAATCCTGTACCAGCTTTATCAAGAGGATGTCATCCTGGGGAACAGCTTGGCCCCCTCTGGAGGAGGAGTGTCTTTCAACCTCTCCCTGACTACAGAACATTCTGGAAACTACTCCTGTGAGGCTGACAATGGCCGCCCTGCCCAGCGCAGTGAGGTTGTAACACTCAACGTCACAGGTATAGGTCAGGCTATGTGACTGTCTTGGTGTCTTTCTCAGCTTCCTGTAAGAGGCTCTGTGACACAACAGTGCTTCTGGTGGGGTGCTACCAAAGATGGGGCTTCTATACATGTTGCGTTTATGGGCAATATTTGTGAGGGGCGTGGAAGATGGGGGGTTCAGTATCTTTCTTCATCATTGGTGTAATGAAGCTCTAGGTTCCTAGATAAATAAGTAAATTCCAACACTAGAGTAAATGTTCTGACCTAAACAGAAAATTGTCCACCCTCTTCCATTGCTCTTTTTATATGTCCAAGTATCTCTCTAAACACTCATTATTTCTAATTTCAAATACAAGACATAGTGTTTCTAAATCCTGATTTTAATAAAGTCAGAGGATAGCAAAATTTGTCACCAATGCCTCTACTCCAGCTATAATTTTCTCATTATTATATTATAAAATGATTCCAGGATTAGAAGCAACTTTTCTGGCATTCTAACTAGGTTTGGTAATGGGTAGTCCTGCTGCTATTCTTGCTTGTCACATTTTAGTATTTTGTATGGTTATTTAGTGTGAATCCATAGTAAATATTCTTGACAAAGAATTTTTCCCAGGTCAAAGCAAAAACGTACTGTAAATCCCTCCCAGAAAGGGCACAGTCTGGGCATAATTCAGACTCAAGATGTCCGCTCTCCAGAGCCCAATCCCTTCCTCATGACTCACACACAGGTCTCTCTCTCAGTGCCTATTGGGGAAGCGAGCAATCATCTTACTTCAGGCATCAATGGACGGCTCCTTGGAGGCCTCGGTCCCGTCATTTTTATGGCCCTGCCATTTGGTTATTGGCTCAAGAGAAAAATAGGTCAGTATTGACAGAGATTGGTATTTTGCTATTGTGCCCTTTGGTTTCACTGAAATCGGCTGGCTTCGGGGTGTTGGTACTACAAAGGATAACTGTATGCTTTTAGCCACCTTATCTTTGGATCTGCTCTCTACCTCCTCCCCCAGATACTACAGTAGGGAAATATTTTAGTAAAATTCTTTGTCTTTCTTGTGTCATCAGTTCAAGTTCAGATGATAGCTTATTCTTCTGTGATTTCATTTTGGTTTAAAAACATAACTATTTAAAGCAGTTATGAGAAAAGTGTTTAGCAGTTCATCCCTACTACCTTCTAGTTCTGAAGTCAATCCATCAAGTCTTACTCACCTTAGGGCAGTGGTGGCTACCACAGTGGGCTCTTTTTCTCACTGAAAGCTCTAAAATGTTCATCATCACTGCCTTAGGGTATTGTCATGTCCCTTTCCTTCTCCCTGAAATGCTCATTCACACATGCACAGATTTTAATCATTGCTTTTCACTTTTCAGCTGAAATGTCATTTTCTCTGGGCAGTTTCACCTGATCACACAACTTGAAGCTGTTCTCTTATTATGAATTCCAATGATTTTGCTTCCTACTTTATCCCAAATGGTAGTTCCATATTGACTTGTATATTTAACCTCGGTTTTCTGATTGCCACTGAACAAATTGGAGATGGGGCAAGAAAGGACAATATGAAATTCTTATTTAAATTCCAAGCTTTACCAGCACCGCTGGGCACTTCTCCCATGTATAACACATCTACGGCACCACCTGCTTTGAAGAACTTTTGGCAGGTGTGGTTGCAAAACCCAAAACAAGTGTTCAGTGACTTGGCTCAAGTCCTAGCTCTGGTACTTACCGTATGTGGGAAGGTCTTTTTAACCAAGCCCTGTGTCTCCTCATTTGTGAGTTGGAGGCTCTGTCACTGATGGCTGGGATGTCCTCTGGGCACACATTGATACCCACAGTGGACATGCTGGGCTAGGCGCATCCCTGGGCAAGGGTGGTGTGGAAGCACTGAGAAGGAGAGCTTCCTCACTAATATGCACATTCATTTGTTTGACTTATAGGAAGACGCTCAGCTGGGGATCCACTCAGGTGAGCTCTCTGCTTTCTCCATCTGGGCCAATAATGCAGAAAAATCTATTTTTTAAAATTTGAATTGTCCCCTGTCATGAGCTTTTGTCCTATCTCATCACACCTAAAACTCACTTCTGAGTTCTCCTATTGGCAACTTTGAAAATTCACTTGTTATTTTTCTTCTTTTAGATTTCATGTAATAACTAATTATTTAAAAGCATTTCACTGTTTTCCCTATGAGTCCCCCTTAACACGTATGCAGAATGAGAAAGTTTCAGTGCTTTGCAAGGATCATTCATTCATTCAAGCAGTCAGCCAATATCTGGCAGTTTTAAGTTACTCTTTTGACTGCTGAGAGGTGTGAATATTTGGAAAGATCCTGAGAGTCTTAAAGTATATTGGGAAAAGTAAGATATATATATATATTTCTGTTATGCAAGACAGAATAATAAACATGCCAAAAATTGTTAATGAAATTCTTTAGAAGCTTACAGGAATAAAATATTTAAAAATATTTCCATCTAGGGATGGCACTGTTTAGTTGATGTATTTTTTGGTGTTATTGTTTATACCAACAATAAACAGATATTGTTTCCAAATCACTCTTAGTGATTGCATGCGTGACCATATTTTCTTCTACCTCTTTTTCAAGTTGCTTGCTCTGGCCAGCCACCTGTTTTCCGTATGTCTTTATTTAGTATTTACTGAGCCCTTATGATGTGAATAGCCAATGGTATAAACAATGTTACAGTGAACCAGCTGCTAAGGACTTATACTTGTGGGAGAAATGCAGTACAGTAACTATGAAGTGTCCCACAAAGCCCATATATAGGGCCATGGCTTCTACCATATAGCTGTGCTTTCCAGTTCCCATGAATTAATATTCTGCCCAGAATACTTTCTAACAAGTTTTTCTCAACTGTTTTACAGTCTCACATGGTTGCATCTGGGACATCCAGATGCTGTTCCAGACAGATAGGATCTGTTTCTGTATTTGCAGGAGCCCTGCTAGCCCTGTACCCCAACAATCTAACTACCGCAACTCACCTGATTCAGCGCAGCTACAGACTTTTTATGAAAATGGTAAGTCTCCCCAGTGACCCCGGAAAGAGTGAATACAATGAGCTGGACAGTGGGCTGACATCTTGTAGCCAAACTTGATTCTGCTGTGGCTCAACTTCCTCTACCCAGCAATGATTCACCTGCTCCATGGTTATGATAGGTGGTGGATACGGAATAAGTGGAATGACAGGAAGAGGAGACTATGCCATGATATCTCCTTCTTCTCTTGCAGTGAATGCTGTAAGTGGGGATAAGGTTTATTCACTGGTATACCACAACCAGCAGGAGCGGGACCCGGTAGCAGGTGAGACATGGAGTGGTATAAATGTGTCTCTGACTTTTGCCTTTCCTGGATCCAAGAGAACCATCAGGAGCTGTGCATGACTGTCTAGCAGTGCTACTCAAAGCAGCTGCTTCTGCTTTTGGAGCTGCTGTCAGCAACTCTGTGCCTCCTTGAGGATTGATCTTGGTCTGAAAGTGCCTCATGGCCTCAAGTATAGCTCAGTGCTGATGCTAGCTTAACCTACTTTGTGCTCCAGTCCCCAGGCAGATGGGAGCCCTAGAGATGGTGGCCTCTGCTTGTCCTGTTTGAGTAGCCCTATGTACTCCTCTAGCATCCCATCACAGCTGCCTAGTTGCTGCTATTGTTGCCTTACCCATGGCAGGCCCAGAAAAGCTGAGAGATAAAAAGGCGTTGTCTATGCTGGGGGTAGAGAGGGGAGGGTGAGGGGAGTGGCTATTTACCAATCCACCCCAGGCTACTGTTTTTTTCCTGAATATTAAAGTAATCATATTTGTGATAGCAAAGCAACACAGGTTATAATGTTGGAAATCAATCCTTGCGAAATAGATAGGAGAGGAAGAAGCTTGTATCAATGGAGTTTAATGAAAGACCATTATAAGTGGACTCTCACAACACTTGATTTTTCCTCTTCAGTTGAACGCATGGAGACACATGTGGAGAATAAGGTGAGCAGGGCCCCCATTGTTCTTTTCTCCGGGCACTCTCTCTGCTTCCTCTAAGGGTTGGTTCTCAAACTTCTTAAATTATAATCACGTAGGAAAAGAAAAAATCTCAGGTTCCCTTATCTACCAATGCAATGGAGGTAGAAACATTTAATCATAACAATAAGGAATCACTATACAAGAGGATTTTGGAGGTTTACATGTACCTTTACTTGAGCAGTGGACGTATAGATGATTTGTATTTCAATCACAGTGTATGCCTAGTTTAAAAGTTCTGCTTATTTGAAAACCTTTATCACAAAATACCATTGAACCATAGATCCATCACTTAATATTGTAAGGTTAACATAACAATCCATAGCAAACTAAATTAATATTGAACAAAGCTAAATTAATAATGTTTGGCTTATGAAAAATTGGTAGTGTGTAAACTTTGAAAAACTCAAGATATCGCTAATGATTCAAAAATACTGTCTGAAAAATTGCAGACATTACAACTCTGTGCATATGTACCATGACAGTAGGTGATTTGTAGTCTTGTCTAATATAGTGTAGCAGGCAGATGTCTCTGGATACAATTCAAGTCCTTGAGAAATTTCAGGCTTGCTAAATTTAGTTTATGAGTTCTCACATCCTTACATCCCATGGGACTGCCCAACAATGGCCCATAACAAAAAGGGAGGCCTTGTTATGTCAGCTTGCAGCTATCAGGAGCACCTCTGTGACCTTCAGTGAATTGTAGACCCCCTGGAAATGCAGGTGGAAAGCTACAGCCCTTTCCAAGAGGGCCTTCTTTGTGTAGTGTGCCATAATGAGGTGCACGCAGGCTAACTGGAAGAGCACAGGTGGAGGGTATGCTCTCCTTGTCTTCTGCTCTGGTCCTATCCATTACTTTTGCTTCCAGGTCTCCTCAGACATCTATTCCAGGCTGAGAAGGGCAGATATCACAGATGTGGACTATGAGGATGCTATGTGAAGTTACTGAAGGTTTTCTTTGAAAACCATTTTGACCGTGAGCCTCAGCCCCAACACAGTCTTCAGAGATCCTGGGATTCAGCTTTGCAGTACCCTTCACCCAGGTGCTTTTCTCCATGAGATGATTCCTTCATCTACTGAGAAATGGCACACAAGTTCCAAAGTGAACACCTGGAGAATCAACTTAGACCAAGGAGTGGAAAGGACTTGGCTGCCAGAACCAGATTCCTGCTGGCTCTTTTAGGAACAGGTTGAATATGTGCACTTACTTCTTTTCACAAAAGGAAACAGTGGAATAAAATAAAAAGTCTTGGAGTAGAGGGACAGTGAGGTTCAGAGTGCATAAACCCAAGGGTATAGTGATTTTGCAGGATTATTCTGGAGAGAGCTATAACTGTCATGTGTGGAAGTGTTTCCTGTGCACATTGACCAGAACCCCTGCCCTGCCCCTTACCTGAATCGTGCTATTTCCCCCTAAAAAATTTGATTCAGTCTATTTTTAGTTGCTGCTACAAAATTAGAATTAAAACATAGTTACAAAAACAGGTTACTGTGGCTACAGTTTTACTGGATGATTTTGTCTGCACAGGCCAATCTAAACACCTCTATATAAAAATCTTTATAAGTTTCACCACATCCTAAATTCTGTATATTGTTGCAGCCTCTAGAAGCCTTATGAATGCAATATTCCTTCTTTTATTCTCAGACTTTTTGAAAACATGGTGATATGATTTAAAGTCTGTATTCTAATTTTAAATTGATCATAATCTCAGTCTTACAAGTTGAAACAATTCAGTGATATATAAAGTAAAAAGTTAAAGTTTTTTCTGTAAACTAACACAAATGGTAATCATTAGGGCCGGGGATTTAGCTCAATGGCATTGTGCCTGCCTTGCAAGTGCAAGGTCCTGAGTTCAATCACTGGTACCACCCCCCACCAAAAAAACAAAAAACAAACAAACAAACAAAAACCCCAAACAACAACAACAGCAACAAAATGGTAATCATTGATGCAACTTAGCATGTCTCACAATGGAATTTTTCTATTTTTGTACAGTTATACATACATGTAAATACATATATATTTAAAAGTATACCTATTTAATAAAGTAAAATATTTTTAAATCCACATACACATCTATCATACTATTTCAAGAGTCTGCATAGTAATCCATTGTATAGATAATGCATATATTTTATTGTGGTAAATATATATAAAACATAAAATTAATGCTCTTAACAATATTTAGTTGTATAATCCAGTGACATCAATTGCCATCATATTATATTTTAATCCTTTTCACCACTGACAGACATTAAAATGGTCTCCAGAAAATTTATATTACAAAATATGCTCCAGGAAATGTCCTTGAACAAGCATATTTATGCACTGCTTCTAGATTACCTGAAATTTATACCTATGTGTCTGGGATGATTACATTGTAGGTTATGCATATTAAATATTTTTGTCAAATACTCCTAAATTTCTCCCAGATAAGGCTATACCAATGTACATATTCATCAACAATAAATGAGACAATTTGTGGAGGAAAGGTATAATTTTAAAAAATTATTGATACAGTTAAGCATCTGTCCATAAATTCATTATTATTAGTAATTCTAATAAAAGCTTGTTGTGTCTAGTCTCTGCCAATTTCCTATGTGTTTGTTTTTCTCATATGGTAACTAAATATAGAGACATAATTTACATACACTGAAATCCACACAGTGTGCCCAGTCTGAGAGATGCATGCATCTGAGAAATGGAAACCCCTATCATATATAATATGTTCATCGGTTTAGAAAGTTTCCTAATACCTAACCCCCTAGTTTCTGCCCATCTTATAATAACTAGTGAATAATATGCCTTGTAGCAATTTCTTCATTGTATATGAAGCAAATGTTTTCACCTAATCTTTCACTTCATTTTTTGTTTATAATGAATTTTGAAATATGGAGGTGTTGTGGTCAGGGTTTGGAAGGAAATAGACTTAATACAGGACACATAATTTATAGGATTATTTCATAATAGTTATCCAAAAACTCAAATGCAGAGGGGTGCAAGAGATTAGCCACACACTGGAGACCCAAAGAATCCAGCCAAGGGCCTGGATCCACAGCAATGTTCTGAACAAGTCCAGATGAAGGCCTAGAGTCCAAGACAATGTCCTGCATCAATCCAACCAGTGACCTAGAGCCCACAGCAATGTCTCATGCTTGTATGTATTGAGGATCTGTGCCTGGAAGGCCTAAATGCCAGTGGTGGAAGCGAGAAAACCTGCACTGGTGGGTTGAAGGATTTGTGCCACCAGGCTGAGGGATCTGCACAGGAGCCAGGAAGTGATGCTCATGGTGAAGATCAGAGTCGCCCTGAGGAGAACAGCAGCCATTCCCAGCAATAGTGAGGACCTGAGCTTCTCCTCCAATGAGAACAGCTAAGTTTGAATCAGGAAAACCAACCATAGCAAGCTTCTCCTAGAAAATCAGCAGCCCATGATCTTCCCCTCTAGTTCTCTTTTTATGCCATTGGCAACAATCCTCAGATGGATCTTCCACTTCCAAACCACACTGATTCAGTTCAGCTGGGCATTCCAAGTTGACCATTAGTTAATCCACCACAGGAGGATTACTTTTTTTGTGTGCAGCTAAACACATTTTTTCCCCCATCTTGACATATGACTTTCCTTTCTTTCTGATATCTTCTGTCAGATCACATGGCCATTTAATAAAAAATCTCTTATATTTTCTTATAATGTTTCATTTTTTTCTATTCACCGACTATTTTGATGTACACATTTGGTGTGTTCCAACTTTTACAGTTTTTGCTCTTATATTTATGTATTTATTCTTTGATAAGGATCAAGCCCTATTTTTTCAAGTAGACATAATTTTTCCACCATTATTTATTAAATACTTTGTTCTTTCCTCTTCCATTTTCATACTGCCTTATCTTACCCAAATTAAACATAAATCTGGGTTTGGACTCTTTAACACTATAGAGCTTCCTGCCACTTTTTGCATAAAGTAGGTCAACCACATTAGCCTCAATGGTTTCTCATGCACATCACATATAGTCCCGATTCTGGAACTATACTTTCTTTTTTTTTAATTACTGGTACTTCAATAGTCGCAAGATTTGACACACCAAAAAATACCACTAATAACAAAAATGGAACGTTTATGAAAGTTACAGCAGACATAGTGTTCAGCTGAGAATCACTTCAACAGAGTAAGGCTCTAAAGATAGCAGAGAAACCAATACTTGCTGGACTGTCCTGTGCAGCTATCTTCCTGTGTGGGTTGGTTATACAGGAGGCTCTGGCTTTCCGTGGTCAGGATTATCATCGTAAAACCAGTTTTCACATAACAGTGTTTCAAACCAAATTTTCACAGGTTGGGGTAGTGTGCACCAGATGTTGAGGAATGTCCTGGAAAAGTTAAAACTTGAAGATTTTCAGAATTTCTAGTAGCCAATACATTCTTTAAAGAGAGCAAGATAGAATGGGTATCACCAGATAACATTTGATGCACTGGGTTTACTTTATGACAGGCAAGTCAGCGTGTCTCAATTTTGAAGACCACAGGCAGCAGAATAATCTGTTCAAGTAGAATATGGGGAAAGTTAGGATCAAACTTTTGTGTTTGAATTTTAACTAGGACAGCAAATGAATTTAAATATAGTGTTGTTTTGATAATCAAATAAATTTGTTTTTGTGTACAATGCTTAAAATAGTGTCTGAAGCACATTGAGTACTTGAAAATAATTATCACTTCCTTTCTAATTTCCTTTTTATTATTTATAGTGTTTTACCATTATAAGTTTTAACACAAATTTTAACAGCTTTAAATATACTTATTTTTTGTTAATTTTTAGATAATTCTACTAGCTGAGGTTTAAGGTATTTAATCTGATGTTTATAACTTATTTTGAGTTCTGTTCATGGTGGTTTGTTAGGTTTTGTGATTCCATGTGACCTGGGCTCCATTTTTCCTCAGGTTTATTAAGATTACAAAGATATAACTAACAGGAAGGAAGATAGTGGTATAAGATTCAGCAGCATAACACAAGTCTCTACAGGACCTAGACTCATGACACCTAGAAAACAACTTGGTGAAGAGAAAAGGAAGAAAAGCATCAGGAATTAAGAAAGAGCCAACAGGAAAGCTAGAAATCACAGAGAAACTGGAGATAATGCAGGGAAAAGATAGAAGTAGTCTGGAATGCTAAACCTAGTTCCTAGAATGCTAAACCTAGTTCCTAAGGAGGTGGGCGGGGCGGGGGGTGACTCTGCTAACACAGCCTGGCAGAGGATTGGCAGGATGGGGTTTTTGAAAGTACAATAACGCCTTCCTTATGGTAGGCTAGAGTTGGGGAAGAAATCCATTGCCCACGATATTTGAGAGTGATTAATCAAGAGCCATTTTGGGAAGGGGTTAATTGTTTAAGAGTGAGCTGCTCCAGGAATCAAAAGCTACACAACAATTGCACTTCAGGGTTTCTGGGTGTCACCTACCACAGTGATTGGATGGGAGACAGTCACAAGGGATAGCATGGAGAAGACTCAGGCTAGACATAGATTCCCCGAAAAGTTTAAGCAGTATTGAGCTCAGGCTGGAAGGAACATAGTGGTTTCACCCTGTGTGGCAGGAAGTCAGGCAGGTCACATATAGTTTTTGGAGAGGACTGGGCCCAAAAGTGCTAGCATTAAGTCCAGCACACTGCTTGACCCCTTTGCTCTCTATCTAATCCAGGACAGAGCTCTGTGATCTGTTTGCTTTCACCATCTGCCAGTGTAATCAGAGATATACCTCTGCTTGGACTGTTGCCACAGCCTGAGGTATGCAGAGAGAGGGGCCTCTGGAATGGTTTGGTGGAGAGCTCACAAATCCTCAGGCCATAAGACTAGCTAGAGAAAGCAGTGACTTGACTAAGAAAAGCCCAGGACTAGATGCATTCCACTGAATTCTACAAGAACCTCTGGGAAGATCCAATGCCAATAC